TAAGAATCAAACATACTACATGCTTACAGAACATGATTTCTTACTAAGAACTACATCTCTACATATAACCAACCCGTTTGCAACTGATCAGAAGGAGAAAAAACAGAAAACACCAATCAACCACAAAACGAGCTAAAATCCCCAAACTAAATCCTGAGCTGAGCCAACTTCACAACCACCCATATGAAAAAAAAATGGTACAACGCAAAGATCGCATCAGATCAACAAGGTGTGAGCTTACAGAGCGAAACCAAACTCGTTGGCTGATGAACATACACAAGGCAAATATCCTTCCCCGGACAATTCGCCGCCACCCACGTCAGCAGCAACTTCCCCTCCTTCACATCCCTTCCAACGGCGACATAAACCGGCGAGCTGAGATCGCATGCAACCCCTTCGCTCCCCATCAATGGCGATCGGGATTGTGCATGTGGAGACAGAGATAATACAGTTTGATGAAGGGGGATTAACAGAAAGTGGAGGTCAGTAGGCAAACGTAGCGGTGTGAGCTGAGCTGAGCTCCATGGTTTTTCTATTTTCCTTTTTTTTCTTTTTCTTTTTTTATGTGAAAAAGAGAAAATTGGGCATAAGGTGTTTGTTCTTTTGCGGATAATGGGATTTAACAAAGGCCATTTATTATTGTTCACAAAAAATATGTTGGAGGAAGAATAAAAAGTCTTATGGAAAAAAGGTTGCTTTTTTATCAATCTTTTCCGCAAGAATCGACCTTTTCCTAATTTTCATTTATGGATTGTTTATTTTTTGTGCTTATTTCCTTTTCAATTGTTGCCTTGTTGATCAAAAGAGTACCTAGTGGCTTCAGTAAATGATAATTCGAAGTTGATATTGCCGAATTTTTTTACTATTAAATTGCACACACTAATATAAATTCATTTTGATTTATAATGGCAGTGACATGAAAAATGCTAATTTTTATCACTCTCTTTTCCAATAATCTATGGCTTTCTATTTATTTATTTTTTTACGTTTTTTTTCTCATTTCTTTTTCACCATTATTGTCTTGTTGATCAAAAGGAGTCCTCAATGGCTTGAGAAGATAATAATGCTAGAAATTTGATTCTACTGGGAATGACATTGCTACTCAACGAGTTCTTTTTTACCATTTTCACAAATTCACATAAATGTATGTTAGACCAAATGATAAAAAATCTATATATATATAATAAGAATTAACATTTACCAAAAATAGTAACAAAAAAATAGGTCAGAATTTAATGCAGTCTATAAATAGTAAGTTTTATTATTTTTCTTATTTTTTCTTTAAAATTCATACAGCATTAAATGCTACCTTAAATTTCGGGGTATAGTTCATTTTATTATTGAAAAAATCCGGCTAAGATTTATTAAGTGTGTATGTTTTTATTTTTATTTTTTTCTTAGAAACAACGAACAAAATTAAAATCTCGGTCTCTATATTTATAAAATCTCAATTCAAAATATAACAAAAGTTTTAGAATCTCGGTCTTTATATTTATGCCTTTATAAAAATTGGAAGCTAAAAATATTCTTTAAATTTCATAATCAATCAATTCATCTTAATTTTTTGAAAATTACTATGTTTATTTTTCATTAATATGCATAAAGTAAAAATAATTAATTCATCTTAAGATATATAATTTATAATCTTAATATACTATCAGTTGGTGTAGACATTTATTATATGAATCATAAAATATTTTTATTTCATAAAATTAAATATATTTAAAGAAAATAAGAAAATTTCTTCAGATCAATCAGGTGATTGAATTAGGGTACTGCCCAAGTTGATTGAATTACTTTTAGGTATTATTTAAAATAGTCAAAAAACTTGACACAACTTGGTTGGTTTGGTTGGTCCCAGGTGACTAAGTTATGAATAAGTTCGATCACACCAAATCGATTATTGAACCTAAATATAAATTTTATATTGAAAATATTTTATTACGTGAATATGATGTAGTCCAAGTTTCAAATAATCGTATTAACAATACATTTATGACAACATGTTTAATGATTTATGAATATTTATATATCATTTTATTAATATTTATGTGAAAAAAAAAATATTTTATTATAATATTTATTAATGTACATTAAATATAAGGTTATCAGAGCTGGACCGTCATCGAAACGATCAAGCTATTTTATTAAATCATTTGTGGTTTGTTCAGATTTTAATTTATAAATATTTTAATATATATATATATATATATAGTATTTTTTGTAATAAATTTAAACAAAATGTGTTACTTAGATATTTAAACTAATTGATAAATAATTTATAAATCTCTATTTTATTTAAATATGTAATTTTATTTAAAATAATTTTAAATATAATAAAATTATAAAAAATCGTGTCGATCCTACAAATCCAACCGACTGGTGTTTACGGATTCAAAAGCAAATATCTTATTCAAGCGAACTAGACTTGTTATAAATCGGTTCTCAGTCCATCCGGTCGGACTGTGTCCAACCCGGTTTAATGTAAAAACAATACATATATCATGATTAATGTTATTTATATATTTAATTTATAATACAATCGTAATATTGTTTTCCCGTGCATTGCACGGGCCACGCGCTAGTATTAGGTGATGACACTTCCCTAACCGAGATATAAAATTTTCAATAATCCCATGATAAAATAGTGTGAAAATTCTATCTTGAAGACACCTTAGATCACCATTTCTCATGGACTATTACAAATTACTGAAGTTTATATTAATGATTGATGACCGCGCGTCGCAACGCGGCAAAATTAATATTTATATTTTTCCTCAACTAACCCCTACTAACTAGTAGTAGTGGCGAGCAAGGGTCGATCCCACGAGGAGTGTGAATCAAATCGTGAATTTTCTCGTATTAATTGACTAGTTTGACTACGACTGTGCACAGCACAGTCGGCCCAAATCCGCTTTTATTTATTACTATAACTTCATGATTATAATTATGTCTTATATTTTGTAATAATATTTCCATGTGATGTTCTATATAAGACATTATTATCATTGCAAAGTTACTCTGAACATAGGATACCTGTCATGACTTTGTTCGTAATCAAGGCCAATTAGATCTTTCTCTCCGCCTTTTAAAATCGCAGACTTGAGAAGTACTACCAATTACCTAGCAAATATACTTATATAAAGAACCATAAACAACATGTGAATACAGATTTTCAATTTTTCCGATGGAGATATCGACGGCGGGCTTCCGCCTATTCATACTAAGACCACTGACATGTGGTGGTAGAAGTAAAGAGAGGCAGTGGGAGCTGACGTGGTGGTAGAAGTAAAGAGAGGCAGTGGGAGCTGGAGGGAGAGCACATGAAAGGCATTTCCATTTTTCCTGATTTATTTTCTGAATTTCTGTAGTCTCCATTTTGACTCACGTTGGAGTTTTTATTCGTGTTCATATTATTATTATAATTTGCTTTGAAAATTGACTGGAAAACAAGAGTAAAATTTGTTGCACTAAACAAAAACTGCATTGTTATCTTGTTAAAAAAATATTTGATAAATTGTATGTTATGTTTTATTTTCTTTATGATCAGTGCAAGCAATGATATTCTCAAAGCATTAAAAGAACAATTGAAAGAATGCATATCGTAAAAAAAGAAGCCAAAATTCTTTGTTGCAGTAACCGAGGAGAAAAATATAGCACCAAAATGAAATCACAACCTTAATTACAATTGTAAAAAATGTTAAATTGATGCAAACAAATGCTCCGCCACAAAATCAATATAATCTGTATTCTGACCAAAAAAGATCCCTACAATGTGATCATTCAATCTGTACATAAAAAAACATATATACACATCAGTACACCTGAAAATAAACATATTTTAGTTAGTAATTCGCCCCTAAAAGTTTCACGAGTTATGATTATAGTTTTCATGTTGGCATGATTAATGCGAGAGCTAATAAAATAAATTCATAAAATGCAAGAGAACAGAATATCCTTCCTGGTAATAAATATGATAACAAATCAAGTTTTACATGTTACTTATCCACAATGATAGCAAAAACATGTTTATGAAACAAATCTACACAACAGCAAAATCATATCATAGTAACAACTAAAATAGAGCAAGAAATGTTCCATTTTTGTTTGGTTAGTCAAGATTTACCTCAATGAGACGTGAATTGATACAAAAAGAAAAAGAAAAACAAAAAAAAAAAAAAAAATTATCTCATTTCACTTTTTTTTCTGAACAATCCAACTAACACATTTTAAAGTAATAAGTAACATTATTTCATATTTTTCAACAAAAAATAATCACCCATCACATATTTCTAATTACCAATCACCAGTAACGACTAAATGCAGCAGTATAGATTACTAATGCAAAGAACTTACAAGAAAGGCATATGTCAAAAAGTTAATTGAACTCTGTCGCATAAACCCTTAACAATTGAATGTCAAGAAGCACAAAATGCCAACAAAGTAACTGAATCAACACGTTATCAACATACCTAAAAATCCAATGTTCGCATCCACACCAGTGAGTTTGAAGGTCAAAGCAGAGCCATGTATCTTTTACTTAAACATAAGAATAACATTAACTAACATAAATTTATACACTTTCAAGCCATTTGTACAGACAATGACATGTATGCCAAAGACATGCAAAGAGCTGAAAAATTCCACCGAATGATGACTTTTAAGCATTTATTTAGGGTCCAAAGACACACACAAAAAAATAGCTTTTCCATAACTCAACTATCACTCTTTTATCCCAATAAAAATTGTTGTTGATAAGTTTTAAGCAAAACATATTTCACAATACATTTTCACTATGATATGCTATTAGATTCCTACAGGATGTTATTTATACAGAATAGCTAAAAGAGTCTAGATCGAGAGGCACCATATTCATATTAGGTCCACATAGCAGTTCGAATAATTTTATTAAAGTAAAGCACATGTTCTTAAGCCGAAATAAAACCTTCTCCGAATACACATTAATATGCAAACAGAAAGCAACTCTTGAAGGTCGAAAATTACCAACGGAGTGATCTTCTTCGGGACTATCTTGATGTGAACATCACCTTCATCAATTTCATTAACTACAACCTCGTCACTCTTAAGCAAGTCAGGTAGAGTTTCAGTAGAAACAACAGCTCCATTGCTAACAAGGCCCTCTCCTCTGTAAGTATGTTCAAGACTTTCACTTCCAAAGATGACAACGCCTTTCTTCTTGGAATTTTTCTTTCAGTTAGTAAAGCTTCCACTAATTCATCATCTGCCATTTTCGGAATATAACAAAAAATCACAGTCATAACTTAAGAGTATACTTATATGAAATGAATCCAAAAGTTATTAACATGTTTCTTAATTATTACATTACCAACAAAAATTATACAGCTAAAACTAATTTTGGGCATTGATGGCTCCAATGGAAATGCCTCCAACACTAAAAAATATAGATAAGAAACCAAAATGTCAACAGTTTGGTCACACTTAAGAATGAACATAAGAGATCTCACTTATCATTTAAAGAATCCCATTGCTTTGGAGCTTTTTGCTCTAGAACATGGTAAAGTTGAGAAAGGCTGGGTTCGTCTGCGTGAGGACTTTTTCTAAGTCGAGGAGCATCAGATATCGGGCGACAACCAATTGAAGGTGGAGTACGGTAGACCACAGCCCTCTTAACACCCTGCCACCTGCCGATTGAGGAACAACATAACAATACCACTGTTAAAGAATTTTATCAATTTTATTGACTGATTGACTCATACAGACCATAAAAGCCAAACACCCGCCTGAAGTTATCGTCGCACAGTTAGAGACATGGGACCTATATCTCTTATAGCAATGCCCCCACAGGTAATGACAGTTACTACTTAATGACCAATATCTAACATACACTTGGGTTCTAATACTCTACTTTCTAAATCTCTATCAACTTGTGCGATTGAAAAACATGAGATGGCTCAACTGTAAGAATTGTACACATATCAAGTAAGAGGAGGAGCCAAAACAATAATAATAAGAACTAAATGTCACAAATTAGCTTCTAAAACATACTTTGCTCCATGCATTGAGAGGGCTTACTCATTGTTTTTTTCATGCATTAAAAAGTACTCATAATCAATGGCCATTTTCACAATTCACACCAATAACATAATTCTTTCAATTTAGCTCTCACCTTAAAAACATTCCTTTCACTCTGTAACTTCTCGATTACAGAATCACTCACACGGGTTGTCCAATCGAAGCAAAAAATTGCACTCGAAATACAAAAAATAATACCCGCAGAAAAAGCCAAAAAGTTCATATTTACCGGAATGTATCGGCCGAATGAATTCGATTCGCTGCTCGGCGGGTCTCCCTCTCACACTGTCTGCTCGCCGCCCTGTCCGTCTCCCACTCTCCCATCCGCCTTCTTGCGCCTCGGCGGGTCTCTCCTATCTCTCTGTCATACCTTTTCGCCATCGCGGTCACAATTGCTTCTTGCACCGTCCTCGGTTGACCATCGTCCGTCGCCTCGCCGCCGCCGCCGCCGCTAGGGTTTATACCATTTGATAAGTTTGGATAGCACAAAAGAAGTATTTTAAATTAGGCCTGCAAAACGATAGCACAAACCAACAATGAAGACAACAGACCACAATTACCTTTAGGTGGAGTCGGTCCCAATTTACGGGAAACAAATCACACCATCGAACCAGGCAAGAGCCTCGCCGGCCAAGTTCCCGACGGCGATCAGAAATCCGTTCAAGTTTTCGACCACGACTTTTGTCACCTCATCAAATCCATTTTTCTGTGTGTGTGAAGAATAAATGAGCAGCGAGGGTTTTTTCTGTGTGTGAAGAGTGAATGAGCAGCGAGTGTTTCATTTTGAGAAGATATGTTGAGAAAAGTCTTTTGCTTAATAATGAAGGAAAGACAAAACGGTGTCGTTCTGCCTACAAGATGTCACAAACAAAAATGAGGTGCTTTTGGTCATTGAATGAAATAGGATGCAGGGAATGAGCCACGTGGCGCCACAACAAAGTGAATGCATTTTCCCTTATAAGAATAAGAGAGAAATTATGAAATCAATAAAAGAGGGGGGTTGATTTAATAACTAAGATCCTAACTAAATAAATAAAATCTAAACAATGAAAATAAAATAAAAATAAATAAATGAAGAGAACTTTCTAGTTCACGGTTCCGTCTACACTCTCGACTGACTCGTCTAATCAATTTTAGTATCAAATCTTGCTATCTCATGAAATTACTAGCCCTAGGCAACGACACAGTCTGTTACCCGAATTCTTCCTTAATTTTAATTTAACCGCGAGACGCTCTACGATTAAACCTGACTTCTTGTACAGTCCAGAAAAACGTTTTCAAGATTTAATACAATTAGCCGCTTTACGAATTAGAAAAATAGGCTAGACTAAGTAGTGAACTCAACCGCGTTCGCTCACTTAAATAGGCCGTGTTATCCCGGTAGTTACCATCTTCCGGTTACCTCTTATGAATTAAACACAACAACAATTACGGATTGCAGGCCTAATTCAGATGTAGATATGAAAAGCTTAATCTAGGTGATCAATCTAAACAAGACTAACACATCATGGTGAATTATTCAAAATAACACAAGCAATTCCAAAATGACAACTCAATAATCAACTATGAAAATTAATCAAACATCGTCAAGTCGTAAGGTTCAACATCACCGGAACTAGAAATAAAAACCTACTCTAACATAATAAATAAAAAGAAAAAAAAATAAATAAAAGAAAGAGATTAATTATCTCCCTCGTGCGGCCTCCCTCCGCGTTTGATCTGGCTTCTCGTATCTCTGCTCGCGTAAATCCCTTATCTCCGTTTCTGTTTCTTTTTTTCTGGCCTGATGCGTGATATGTATTGCGGCTGCGTGTCTTTTTCCTATTCCTTTCTTTCGCCTTTTATGAGGGGTGTTACTATTCACCGCCCCCCATATTACTAGTCACCGCCCCCCTTGGACAATTTTACCCTTCTCATTTTTTCTAAACATCTCAGAGGAAAGTGTACGGTGAAATGTCGTCAAATTCGGAGGTACGAAAAAATACGTGTACGGTCGCCGGTTCCGGACGGGCTAAAAGCCGTCCGGACGCCGGAACCGGACGGACTAAAAGCCGTCCGGACCGGCCGGCCGGACGACAAGTAATACCGGCCGGAAAGCACGGCCGGACGGACCGTTGCTGTCCGAACCGGCCGGCCGGACGGCAAGAAAGCCGTCCGGAAACGACGGCCGGTCGGAACCGGTCCGTCCGGTTCGGCCGGCCGGCCGGA